GTGTCCAGTTATGCTACGGACGTGTTGGAATTTTTTCAGATGAATAAACAACAAAGAAAAAAAGAGTGGATTGTCTGGGTTTCGAACACACGGAGCCTCGAAGACTCCGAGTCTCGAAGCGTCGAAGATTCCGAGCCTCGAGGAGTGAATTTAGAATTCGCTTGCCTGACAGTCAGCACGCACACACGCACGTACTGCGTCACTCGACACGCGCCCCTTCTTTTAGGAGATGCACGAAGCCGGCCGCGAGATGGAGCGCTTGTAGACGAATACCCTAGGCACGAGCATGGCAAATCTTATGCGTATATTTTCAGCTCTGTACGGCGTATCCACTTTTTGAGGGGAGTAGTGCACAATCCCTCCTAAACTACGTCTATTTCCCCTTAAATAATGGACATTGACACTAGGGTGCGGTAGTGAGCCGTGTCCACTTTCGAACAAAGAAATGAGCAATCTCCCTTTTCATCTCTGGCTCAATGGTTACTTCACGTCTTCCATGATCGTGATCATAGAAACAGACTGTATTTTTTGTCTGAACATTGCAAAATGAAATATTGTACATGTGAACCCAATGTCTCCTCTACACTTGATTACTGGCTGTAATCTTATGATTCCCGGTTTTATTGAATAAATTTCGCTACAAAATTGTGACAATTCATGTCATTTCTTTATAACTTATTCTATTCATACAAATAATAGATTGTTCTGACTAATGCATGCTTATTATGGATTTGGGATCCTTTTGAAAACGACTGTACAGTGTACATATAAGGTCCTATATATCTTGCATATATATCGACAATTATGAATGAGTGAAATGGTTTATTTTGATTTGTAGGACATTCATATTTATTGAGATTACTCCCATGTGACTACTTATGAAAGGAAAGATGCTCCTTAGAAGAGACAGTAAAACAACATAATTCTTGAGGTACATCTTGAAGATTAAATTAGAGACACTTTAAAGGGTTAGAATACTGATGTTCTTATGATAACGCTATGCTTTTACGAGAGATTACATCTTGGCATAAATTTTTCCAGCTTTCAGTATTAAATTAAACTTCCATGCTTTAAATAAAAATGGGTACCAGAACGTTGAACGATATTCATAATGACATGAAGCAATTAATAACAGCAATAACTTCGTTCGAGGTAATTCTCATCCTATTTTAATAATTGTTAATCGGTTTATGGAACTGGACAGTACTGTTTTATATATTTCTTTAGGAAAATGAAGAAGGGTTTAGAATCTGCGAAAGGTTCTGCATGACGAACATCAAACATCACAGATACCTGTCTGTTAACAGTAACACTACAAAAGAAGCTATCAAAGGTTTAATTAAGAAATTCTCGATTCACGGGAAGTACGATGTGGCAACAAAGTTTGAGGAGCTCGTCGACACGTTCTTATCGAGTTTCGCCTTTGAACAACATCCACAATATGATTTGCAATGGTATCTGTTGACGCTGCTATTAGAATTATCTAAGGAAACTTGTAACTCTGATTTGGAGTGTTTAAAACTAACACGCGGGGAATATACTGTGAACGTAACTGGCGAGAGTGACCACGAAGTTACAGAAGAAATCGATTGGGCTGAATACTTAAAAGAAGGACAGGACAATTTCTTTGATGATTATCGAAGCGACACAGAGAGCGTAAGTAATCAGATTTTGATTACAGCATTTCCTTGAATTTATCGATGTTACTTTAACAGGAATGGTCGGATGACACAGAGGACCATCCGGATGCCTGTACGAACGTTATAGAATCTGTAAACCTCACAGAGTCGGATAGAGCTGTGTGCGTATCGTCGTTGGATAAGGAGTTAAATAAATTATCATTGGCTCTGGACGAAGAACTTAAGTCTCAAAATTGGCTATTATCAAATGTCCAGAATACTTGGTGGAACGAATTAGACTGGCGAAAACATTCGGTGAAGAGTCGATTTTGCGATGCTAATCTTTGTGAAATATGGTAACTGTTTATTTGCTTTTATCTATAAACGTTCCCAGTATGTTAACGTCGTTAGTATGTTACTTAGGCACAAAACAAATGGAGGAGATTTCTACACGCTTGGAACTGTTAGTGAATACCTAGTGTGTCGAGAATTATTATGGATGTTGTATGCTCCGATACAGATGGTAATATTTCAACAGAACAAAACGGAATTTTCTATTCGTCTCGATGTATCTATACCTAGTTTAACTACTGTGAGTATATTACATCGAATGATTTGTCGAGCCACTCATCTAACAAGTTTATGAGTGTTAATTATATAAATGTATTAGTAGTGAACAAATTTCAGACTGCGTTTGATAGTATTCTTCAACCATTTTGTGAATATTTTTCGATGATACATGATATAGAACAGTTTGGAATCGAATTATATACAGAACAGGGAATATTGTGCAAGAAGCCACCGTTAACGTATGAAACGTATAATGCAACGTTGAGACAGCATTTAATGACATTTAAGAATGGAATTACTGAGATTGAAAAAAAATTAATGAGGCAAGGTATGAAAGAACTTTATTTAAGTTCTTACAAATAATTGTATAATGTCGTTCGTTGTTTTGTTTGTAACTTGAAATCCAGACAGCAGTTTCACGCTTCTGTCTTTATCGTCGATCCTGAAGAAGAATTTGTACAGTGTAAGAATTTTATATGAGGTTCATAAGAAGACCGTGTCCGATTGGCGAACACATCCAAATTGGAAGTGCACGTCTAAACTACTGTCAGCTCTTTATTTCGAGATACAGAACTCGCACAATCGGGAGAGAACAAATATTTGCATCAGTCTGTATTTGTCTAGTCTTACTGTTTATCTAAATATAATCGATACGTGGCTGAGCGAGGGACGGTTTGAAGATTGGAGAGAAGAGTTTATAATTGTGAGGTAAGAGTGTCTTAAGGATGTATTGGCTATACAGTCAATCCCAAAAGTTTATGTACCTTAGAAGAACGCATTTCCTATAATTAAAAAGGAATCAGACGTCGGAAGAACAATGCTAATAATAAATAGCTACGTGCTAAGAAGTATAGAAGTAGTTAAGTATTGACGCTGACGAAAATTTCTTTTTCAAAATTGCGAAAAATGCTTCAAATAAAAGTTGTTTTCCTTCTAACTTCGATATTTAACGAGTTACGTATGATTATTTGGTATTTTATTGATGTTGACAAAATCCGACAATCTCAGCGTCGAAACAGCGAACTTTTGGGAAAAATTTCGTTTTTTGTCCATAACTCCCAAACGGATGGACTTAGGGGGGAATTTATAGGACCATTTTGTAGGAAGCGACGAGATCTACAATTTCCATGTAAAAATATTTCGCTAGCATTAATATTTACCGAGTTATTGACGAAAAACGAAAAAACTGTTTCTTGCAAATTACTCGTTAACTATTGACACTAGCGAAAAATTTTTACATGGAAATTGTAGATTTCGTCGTCCTCTACAAGAAAGGTCATATACAATTTTCCCGTAGATTCAACGGTTTGGGAGTTATTAGCCAAAAACGAAAATTTGGAAGAAATCGAAGGGGTACCCCTTGGAAACATCTCGGAAAAATCGAAAATTTTGTTGTTGTTGTTTATTATTAGCAATGTTCTTCCGACGTCTGATTTCTTTTCAAAAAATACGTTTCTAAAGTGCATAAACTTTTGGTATTGACTGTATAGTCAATACATCCTTAATGTCAATAAGTACGAATTGTAAATTACAATCGACAATTCATTTTAGACTAGTAAATAGTACGCCTTTGGAGAGTGGTACGCACTACGAAACATTTTCTTTGAGACCTTTGGATGCTGTATGCTCAGAAGATCCGATCATGCAATTTCTAATAAGAAAGATACAACATATAGGACAGAGTATTGAATTTTTGGTATCCTTGGACCGTGTCACAGACATATGGAGTATCAATATAGGAGATAGTGGTGTGTTTTCTAACTCTCTAATTTTCATATTGTAGAATACTAACGAACCGATTCTTTTAGAATCAAAAAGATCTTTGGTCGATGACTTCTATGCCAATTTAGAGACAGAAATCTCTAAACACAGTGCACACGAACAAGAAGAAATATCATTTCAGCACGAAGAAGTTACGGAAAATTTATATGACGAAGATATGGAGAAAAATATCATCCAACGATTAACTGCATTCAGTAATCCATTCTTTTTGAAAGCTTTCGAAGATTATCTTCCTCCTGAGCTATTAAAAGGAAGCAATACTGATAACGCCGATGTTTCTAAGATTCAAAATACTAAACTAGGAGCTAATGATATATTTAAAAGGTGTCGTTACCGCGGATAAATATTTTTCTAAGAAATGAAATTCTAATTCAGTACATATTTTAGGCTCGAAAGAATATCGGATTATGTGTTACCGTTCAGGAAAATACTTGAGAATATTTTGTCAGAGATTTTAGTCACGCGATACAACGGTGCTAGTAAATTAGTCAAGAACATCATGTCAGAGGAATATAAGATGGAATCACATTTATCGTTAATGAGGTCCGTTTACATGATGGAAGCTGGTCATATCATGAACAAATTTTACCAAAGATTATTTTATGAAGTGAGTATAAAAATTGGTTTATCGTTTATGTGACCTCCTCATCGTTCATTCGTTTTAGATTGAAACTAATCAAATGTGGAATAATTCATATTTTTTATCGTGTATACTCGAAGAAGTCCTTTCGCAGTGGTGGCCAGATTCAAGCTCACGCTGGTCTATTACAGTCTCTATTACTCACACAGATAAAGTATTAATTGCTGTAGATAATATAACGTTGCATTACGCGATAGGCTGGCCTATAAATATTATATTGAACGAGGAAACCTTCGGAAAATATAACGAAATATTTAGGTTCCAATTGAAATTAAAGTGGGCTTTGTGGACTTTGAATAACTTGCGGTTTAGCGGTGAGAAAACTATTAAGAAAATCTCCTTTCTCAACGTTTGTTAACAGACTCTCATAGTTGATTGTTTAAACAGACTTAGAAGGCTCGAGGCTAGCGAATAAAAGAAATAAACTGGAACAGTTTCACATAAGGCGTATCGAGAGTTTACGATTTTGTCTGTTACACGCTATTACCTCGATACATACTTATTTATCGGGTCAAGTGTTACAAAATTTAAGTCTTATATTACAGAAGTCTTTAATGCAAGCAGACAGTTTAGATGCCATCGTATCAGGTAAAGTTACAACAGTGTTATAACATTGACGAATCGAAGTGTAAATCGTTTCTTAAAATTTCAGTCCACAATGAGTATTTAAAAAAGGTTCATGAACACTGCCTGTTAACACCAGAATATGAAGATCTAATGGCAACTATAAACAATGTATGTATATTGTTCGAAACATAATTGTTCGTTGTACGTTTCATGTAAATGTTTTACAGTTAATCGAAATGTGTAATCACGTACGAGCTCGATGGAATTACAAAAAACTAATGTTCGTCAGCGACGAATTAAGTGTGCTAGAGAACAGTTACAACAAGTATCATACGTATCTCGCACTGGCCCTACACAATGCAGTACAGAATAAGGATGCAAACTACTGTAAGTCTGAAACCATGTTAACAGCGTTATATAATATATTTCAGACTGATATACCCAAATTCTATACGGAAATAAAATGATTAAATCGTTATAAACGTTTCATTAGACGATCTTACGAACAGTTTCGTTACTAACGATTTTACTACTCAAACAGCATGATTAATTCAATTGTTAATGCATTTTTTTAATTGCTTTGTTCACAGTGACTTGTTTGAGCTCCGCGTTTAACTGCGATATGTTTAACAAATAGACGTTTTCACAGCTTCTGCTATCCAAGAAATAATATTATAACAAGTGATAAACAAATTTTTTCATTCTCGTATCAACCAAGTTTTATATAAAAAAAAGGGATATTGCTTGATTAACAAAACCAATGAGATCATTCCCATGGCTAAAGCTTTGTAACTAATTCTTGCCTAACAACATGTGTATCCTTACCGAATACGTTCTCAGATCTAAATATAACAAGTTCTCCAACTGTCTATGAACATAGCTATAAAATAAAGCCTATTTTTTTTCTTAACGATCTTTATAAATCCACCCTCTTAATATCGTCTCCTTCTAACTGCTTACCCAATCCCTACAATTCCTTTCAGATGATTTGATGCTGCAGTATCAAATTAATACGAAAAACGTGTACTTAAAAAACAATTCCATTACGTGTCCGCTTAACAATCTCAGTCAGAGTTTGCTAATTGAAATAGCTTATCAATATTTACCGCCGTCGGGCTTACCCATTCAAATTCCAAGAGTCATTCACAAAGTAGACTGGTACAGTAGCAGGTAAGCTCTCAGGATAGTGATTCATAGAAATAAAAATTGTGTTAAATATCGTAAATCGTTTTAGTTTAAATTCTGAAAAGTCACTGCCAAACGATATCACTCTAAACGAGTACGAACAAGCATTTTCATACATACGTTGGTATCAATTAGAAGAAAGTATCATTACGTACAATGTATCTCCGTACACTTTAAGCCGCGAAGTGCAAGACTTCATCGACGATGATAAATCTGATACAGATTATTAATCGATGAGAGCAAGAAACAGACTGCAACTTAGGACTTGTACAAAGTAACAGTTAATTGGTAACTGTATAAATTGCTTACTCCAGTAGACGGTAATAATTTATTTTGATACATAAGAATATACATATATATACATTTATATGATCTGTTTAAACGTAGTTCTATTAGAAAAAAGAGAATTAGGAAGTAATAAAATAGTTAAATCTTGCATTAAGTAAATATTTATGAAATTAAATTAAGATTAACATGTTTACGATAATATCATCATCCGCGTTTAAAATAAATGTGAGAAGATTACCCGTGGAAAATTGTCTCCGTACCAAAATGTTTTAGAGGAAAATTCGATTTTGCGCGAAACTCTGTGCGAGTACAACGGTCCCGTTTTGTCCCATCGTTCCACTTTGCGTTACCGTAGACGCGTTTGCGGTTTCGTTCAGATTAACGGGAGGCGTCGAATGATTGTTAACACTTGTCGAACTTAAAGCTTTATTACGCAGTTCAAACACCTGTTGTATAGCTTCGCGAAAGCAGAGAAAGTTATAATCGATCACGCCTAGAATTTAGAAAGACGACTTTAAATATCGACCTCCTTTATATGTATAGAGTTTCGTAGCGTGTCGTAATGTAAAAGATCGTTTACCTTGCCTGTCGAAATTGTCTTCGCGCAAGATACAGACTAAGGCCAAGAATTTGTTCACCTCTCGCAAATATAAAATCGTCCCGTTATTTAATTTAATTAAGCTAGAACTTTGACTATCAAACGCTGCAGCCTCTAGATCCTCTCTCAGACTGAAATTAATACACACCACACGTGAAATATGATGTTCTACAGGTTGAAACTTTTTCTGAAACGTACCCGTATATGCAAGATACATCGATAACGACGTCGATCATGTCGCAACAGAGTTCGTAGCTCTGCATGTCTACAGGAGAGCTATCCGTTGCGATGTAAATTTTAGACACTACGTCAAATAAAAATGCTTTCTCAATCGCAGAATTCTGTGAACAACAAATTTCCATGTTATTTCATGAAAATCTCTGATGGCCAGTTGTATATAGATTCAAATGCATTCTTACTGATATGAGTATATTAAGTAAATTTTCTAATGTCGGTAACTGTGGTATCAGTTTTTGTACAACTTTACTAAATGCTTCAAATATACTGTGGTCGTATATAGACGTTAAATGGAAACTTAGATGTATCTGATCACATCCTGAAATTGTATTTATAAATAGCTATTCATGAGATCAAGAAGGAGAGAATTGTTTCTTTTTACCAGAATCCGAGAGATCGTCGTTCGCTCTAGTATGTATATCCCTTTGCGTTTCCATTTTGCAATCATCGGATAAACCATCGACTTTATGTATGAACACTTCGAACTTTATAGCTTGATTCACTTTGTATGCTTTCGTCACTGTTAAGTGGAGTTTGTTGAGAGCCTCCATGTAATCATCTTGAGCATCAATGACAAAAACTAATGCCCCACAACCACCGAATATCATGTCACTGTCGAAAGTCGGATCGAAGAAGTCGATTTGTCCAGGAAAGTCCCAAATTTGAAACTGAACAAAACTGGAATTGCTTATATCGTCTTTAATAATTTTGTTTGTGCTTTCGAGAAATAACGTTTCGTTGGGTGACATCTTATGAAAAACAACTTTCTGTATCGACGATTTTCCACTCCTAAAGGTAGGTTCTGTTTCACGTTAATCCATTACATGATTAGAAACAATTTAAGTAACTCGAATACCTTCTCAGGCCCATTAAAAGAATTCTAGGCTTTTGTTCCCCTGCCAAGGGATCCATGGATCCCTCTGTTTCTCCATCGAACGGAGCGTATCCGAAATCTTTAGGAAATGACCCTACATCGTACCCAGTTTGATACTGATCATCATCATCCTACAATAGCAATGTTATCGCTAACATGAATATTACCAAAAATATGCATACTAAAGATTAGGATAGTGATAGCGAGAAGTGACTGATAAAACATGTATATCATACATGATATTACATTTGCATTTTTACTATTTATCTACGAATGACACATTATAAATTGTCTGTATAATAAATTGAATTACTCATGCCACTCACCATATTCGTACTTTCTACACTTTATTTATCAAATGTTTGTCTAAGTAGACTTTGTTTTCACAAAAACTTTACGATATCGCCACGCAACTATATATCGAATAAACTGTGCATCAGTTGCAAATCAAATATCAATAAAAAATGTGTATAACTTTGTACACAATTGCGTGGGAACGTAATAAATCATATACAAATCAGTTGGTTGATAGAGTATCAGCGTGAGCAACGATTGGGCCACAGCTGAAGTATGATCAAGTTGATACACGAAAATAAATATTCATTTTCAATCATCAAAATCTCCAAAACAAAGAGTTGTCGTGCGATATACTTTACGGTAGACAGAAAGTCAAGCTTAGAATTGTATTAAAAGATCTGTGAATCTTTTGCGTCCACAATGTTGTAAATTTATTTTCCTAACAAATAACATCGCAAACAAATTAATATTACGATAAGATTTGTAATTTCGTCACACACTTATATATTGGATAGAAACAGAGAGAAATAAAGTTTGTCTTGTGTAAAATAGAATAAAGCAACAACTACACATTGTCAAATGAACAAACGAATGAATTTATGAGGATTGGCGATGGAAACTGGAAACAGACATTAAATGCGAATTACCAACTGTACGACCTGACGACGATCTATCTTCAATGACTTCGACGCCGTTTCTATACTTTTGTTCCCACTTTAATGTACCTGCGGCTACGTTCTCGCATGTGTTTCTGTTTGCGCGAAAAACGTGTGCATCGCAATGAGATAAACGCAAATAGGAAAGAGATATACCGAATAAGTAATTCTATAAAATATTGCAAAACATGAAAGTGATTATCACGGTCGTGTAATTATATAACGCAAGCTAAAGATCTAAAAAAGTTTCGGATATGGCAGAGATTTCGAATTCCACTGTGTTTACAAACGATGCATCGTCTACTGGTGCTTCCGATCTTCTTCAGCAAGCGTTCCAGCAGGTCGTCGATGATGACGATCACGATAACGAGTTCGTCGCGTTTTTACAAAACGACGAGAACGATTCTCAGACGATTCATTTGACTCCGGAACAAGCGGCCGCTCTGGGGCTAACCTTCGAGGTGAACTCGAATGAAGAGGTTATGTATCAACACGATCAAGATAATGATGTCGCGAACCCACAGGAGAATACATCTACAAAGAATAATGTACAAGACCAAAATTCGTTGTCACCGCACGAGACTATGTCGATCGATCAGTTGAATTATCAATCTGAAGAGATTCAAAAGTCCAATGATAAAGAGCTGGCTAAAGCAGACTGCATCGATTTCCAGGAATGGCATAAAGTGTCTCAAACCGAACATCAAGTAGCAAAGAACGATCTGTCACTGGATGAAATCAATTTGAATAATCAAACCGATGAATCTCAACGGATGATCGACCAGCAAAATGGTATAATCCAACAAAATCCAGGTACACAGACATTAGTTTTGGAGCAATCGAAAATACACGCTATACAAACAGACGTTGGGCATGTTAAGAGCATACATGCCAACGATTTACAGTATACTATCGAAGATAACATAGCACAAAATCAATTGAATTCAATACCTAGTTCTCAGGCGCAAATTTTGCAGAAATTACCTGTAATTTTACCATCCTCACAGTTTATTATAAAACCAGCACAAACTATATTGAAACCGGCGAAGAGTGTTAGATTACTCCAAGGCTCGAACAAACTCGTTAACACATCTGTTAATTCGATCAACACTGTACATTCGTTGAATACTAATATAAATTCCAATTCCGTACTCCTTTCGAAGGCTACCATATTAAACAATTTATCACCACAGATAATAAAAGCAACTCCTATAACAGCTCAGTTATTGAACACCAGTGGTATACCGGCACAGTTGTTAAGCACTTCGCAGCTCTTAACTGGCACTTGTGAAATACAAAATCAGTCTGTCGGTACTTCACATATTTCGAACGCAATAGTGAACGGTACGTCTGGGGCGACGCAAAATCTTATCGGTTCGCAAATTCGTTTGTCTCCCATTGTGAAAACGTCACAACCGCTTCAGAGGGGAAACGTTCAACAATTTTTAACGCCGGTGCTAAAAGGAGCGTCGACCGTGCTTCCAAAGACTAATCAAATTCTAAATAACGGTAACACAGCTGTTTCTGCGCAATTTCTGAAGTCTGTACAAATCCCGTCTCAGTTACTTAGAACGAAAGCCGCGATTGGCAAGAAAACTACGGGGGCAACCGGAGCATCGAAGACTACAGCCAGTTCTAATGCACAAGTCGTGCTTCGAACGGCGTCAATTGTTAAAAGTCAAGATTTGAAAACGTCGACGACGAGCTCTATGTCTATTTTAAAGCCAACGCAGATATCTTCCACGCCTATATCGATTCTGAAACCTCAAGCGAAGATTGCGATTAATAACTCAACCAAACAAAACGTAACCATCGCGACACAGAGTATTGGCAATGTTTCAAGTAATTCTCACAACAATCTGCAAAAGCCAGTGCAACAGAGTGGCACGTTTGAATCGACTAAATCATTGCAAGCTGAGATCGCTAAGCAAAAACTTAATCTTGTGGCAAATGGCAATTCGAAATTGAATAATAAAAAAGTTAAAAGTACTCCTGTTAAATCTACGGTGATTCCGGAGGAATCTACGAATGTGTCAAAGCCGTTAGGATCCAGTGAGAATCCTATACAAATAGTTCAACAAGGCCAAACGTTTCATAGGTAATGTACCAACATGAGGTTTTAGTGAACCTTTATATTAATGATATGCATGTTATAGTATGCAACGATTGACGCCGACGCAGTTAAAACAAATAGCACATGTGCTGCAGCAGCGTAGTCAGGAAGCAGCTGCATCGAACGAAAGAGTTGTGTATCGGTCAGTACATATGCACGGAAGTATACATTCGTTTTTTTTTAATTTCAACATTTCTGACGAACGATGAACGTGTGTGTTTAGGGTTGTATTCCCAGAAGAGTTAGATTTACAAATTCGGAACCCAGGGAACTTGTTGAAGAATCGTGGTGGGAAAAGAGGGAGACCGAAAAAAAGCGCCATGAGACCTACCTTAATTCCACCAAAACCGACACCAATTCCTGACGAAGAACAGGAAGAATTGAAGGTATTTCTTATTCACTGTTGCAATTGTTCCATGATTGTAACCGCGACAATGTTTCTACAGGACGAGAGGAAGAAAGTCGTGGCTAGAACACGATCCGGTCGACTTTCACGACCTCCTAGACACATGGTGCGGGACTACAAGCATCTGCATCACTTAGATTTCTTACAACCCGACTTGGACGATTCGGACGGGGGTTACAGTGATTATAATACCAATAACGATAAACTCGAAGAAGAAGAGTCGCCGAAAGAATTACTGACAGGGCTGGAAGTGCCGAAAAGAAAGATATCAGATCATTTCCGATGTCCTACGTGTAACAAAATATACTTGGGACGTACGCGGATGGCGAGGCATTTCGAGATGCATCCGGACCACGGTAGTCCTGAACAACTACCACCTCCGACACCTGAACCAGAATTGAAACAGAACGGGGGACAGGACCCTTTGAAACGCAAGGGGAAGAAGCGTGGCCCTTGGGCTTACGTCACACCGGAAGCCAAGTCGGAAAGACGGCAGATAAAATTGCGGGAAGCAATATCTGTGTGCGAGGATCTCGAGATAATAAAGATAGCTGCGAAACCAGTACTTAACGCACAATCGTTGTTCGATCTACTAGTTTTAAAATCCGAAAATAATGTAAGGAACTTTTTGGACGAATTAAAACAGTTAATGGATAAGGTGCGGGAGAAAGCCGGGATTATTTTAACGGTTGCGAACAGCGACGAAGAATCGAGTAAAGATTTGATCGATATCGGCGAGGAATCGCTTTGCGACGCTTTAGGTCTTAATCCAGGTTTGTATAAGATTAACAACGAAGCTCTGAAAAAGATCGACAATCCTATTCGTACCAGCTACGAAAACGGAGAAGAGCCACCTCTTAAACTTCAGAAAATAGATAACTCCGAAGATGGTAAAGACAATATGGAAGAGAGAATGTCGAGCGGATTTTCTGAAAGCTCGGATCTCAGTGTCTCAGATTTTTTAAGTGAGAAAAGAAGTGATTCCGTAGGAAATCCCACTTGCCCTGAAGTACTGTCAGCTTTAACGTTGATGAGGAGGAATCCTAGTCCCGTGAATCATGTGGAGAACGGCAAATCTAACAGTGTGTCGAAACTTTTAATTTCAAATCCGGAGATTCAAAGTCAGATTTCAGACAACCCTGGATTCCAAAAGGTGGACATTACTCCGCCGAAAGGTTCGAGTTATCAAAAGATAGAGTCTCACAAAGAGGACTTTGGAAAACTTGGGAACAATTTAGGACCGTCGAACTTTTGTAAGGTCAACGATAATTTCGAGCAGTCTAAGATGAATCATATGGAGGCGTTCATAAAATTAGAACCGACAGAGCAAGGCTTCGTTAAATTGGAAAATGGTGCTATGGAAGCTTATTCGAAACAGGAGCCGCAGAATTACGAGAAGATGCAAAATGGTTTGGACAACATAGAAAACGGATCTCAGAGTTTTGTCAAAGGATTCCAGAAGTTAGTCACAAAGATAATTCCGATGACCTCGTCAGATATGAATTGTGTTAAGACGCAATCTTCGCCGTCAGATACGGACGCTTGCAAGATGATGCCCACTACTTCCAGCTGCAAGATTTCGGACAGCCTGCCAATGCTTCAAGACACGGTACCGATAATTTCTAGTAACTGCGATACCAGCATATTCGGGAGTTCGGAAAACTTAGACATGTCCAAGATGACTCAGTACGATCACATCGCACATTTAGATATTTTAAATACCAGCGGGGTAATAGACAAGAACTTAATAATCGACGAGAAATTAGTCGAACACTTGCATCTGGTGGATCAATCGAATTTAGTCGACGAATTAGTATCCGAACGATTGAAGAACATCATGCCGGATAATATTTTAGAGAACAATTTGATACCAAATAATTCGAATTTAGACACTGATCTCGATTTCGAAGCATTAAGCGAGGAATTTAATAGAAACACAAGAAGTTGATTCTTGAACGGTTACGTGAGAGGTGTTCCTAACAGAATTGGTGTAATTTGTACAGTGTACAATAATGTGGAACTTATACAATTTCAAATGTATATCTACGATCACACGATTGTGTGTAGATATTTTTTTATAGGATTTCTGACAGTATCATGAACGATATATACATAATCTAACTTCCATACTTGAACGAAGAGCAATTGTAAAATAATATAATATCTTATATCCTGGTGTCTGTGTGTAAATAAGACTGTTTCTGTTACGTGTATTTATTCTACGTAGTGCATATGTAAAAAGACAATTCCGCGGGAAACTAAAAAAAGCTTTAGATAGTTGCATTGTCTTTGGCATAAAACGAACTTTTAGTGGGAGATACCTATATCTTTTATTTTTAGCAAACAGTCTTTACATTATCGATAGTACTAATTAATTTAGTTTCTTAGAGGATTATAATATTTCATATAATGAGCGAGGAAATAAGAAATTGGAGCTTTTACAGAATTAAAAACTACACAATGAAGAAAATGCAGATGTTCTAGAGAGGTAATTTTTCTTAGGTATTACGTATATAGTCGATTAAGTATGTATTATTTTAATGTTTTAGTAACAACGTTATCAGTCAGCGTGCACAAATCATTTTGACTCGCTCACGATCGAACTGTACGATCAAAATCATGTTGTATTATTTTATATTACAATGACCGATGATATTCAAAAAGAGAATCGAATCCCTTTAGAAACTGACCAATACGTTGTTCACCATTTTTATACAAAACGATGCATCATTAAAAATATTTTGAACACCAAGAATACAATTCCATCCGTATTGTTATGGCATTTATGTACAGGAGAAATTTTGTATTTATCTGTAAATATGTATTGTACATACATAAGAAGTTATTCATATAATTAGACACTAATGGCACTAGTAGCATTAGAATAGCTATGACTAATCATGAAATATCTTAATTTTACAAGCTTCGTTCCTCGTACAGATACATTTTTTTTAGTAAAACTGTAGTATCAAACGTATGCTATGTGTCTACACTTGTTTATTACCATATTGATTTCTTTTTGTGATATCGGGGTACGAATTTTGAATACAATTTCATAATTCACTTTAGTTTTCGACTATATATTACAGCTCTATTTCAATCATTTTCTTGTTGTGAATTTACACGAATGGTACTCGAGAAGCCACAAATAAATGATCATTCTGTTAATCTTTGTTTTATTTCACTAACCATTGTAAGTTACGATATAATACAAAAAATAATCATTGTAAACTGCGAGTCGTTTTCCAAGTAAAAAGATACTTACCAAAATTTATATTGACAACTGTTATAATCATCTATGCCCGGTCTCTATTAACATTGACTCCAGAAGTACTGTCAGATCCTCTGATAATAAAGGTTGATGCACCCAGCTAGCAAGGAACAACATTTTCCAAGATTCTGAACAATAATGTGCAGCATCTTCCAGAATTTTACATTTCACTTTTACCTCACGCGAATACGCATTATATATTGACTCTGCCACTTGTCCTATAATTAATTACATTACTTATCAAGCAAACCGATCGTAAAACTGTATCGTATTTATTTACGAACTGCATTTACAATCTTTACCAAATTTTGTACGGGGCCATGTAGCAAATAGCTTGTGTGTACTATTATCTAACGATGTTGTTATCTTCATTTGATGCGTGATCTGGCCAAGATTTAACACAACATCGTCCTAAAAGAAATATAGAAAATTATTTCTTATACCTAATTACAATCATCGATCAATAAGACAAGTAGAAATGGCACTACCAAACCATTGCAGATAATTTCTAACTCATCGCATAGCTCTTGCAAACTAGGAGAATAGGACTCGTCCTGCTTTGCTAGAGTTATATTTTTTAGCAGTGTTACTCCTTGCAAATGAAGCGTATTCCATTGCTGTATGCTTGCATGAATATCTGCAGTAAGATCTCGTATATGTCTGGCAGAGCCTGTTAAATTTCTGCCTTGTGCCATCTTAGCTGGTGGTGAAATCTCTATAACAAAGATTAGAACGATTAGAAGAGGATAAGATAAACTGATTTTTTATATTGCACTGCATTTCTATTTGCATGCACATGATAAGATACAAAGGAAACTGAGTTGCTCACTACTGACTGGAGAAAACTGTGCTTTATTCATTATTAGAGTATAGTATGATATTTTCACTTTCTATCAGTTCACTATTCAATCGTTACTTGTGTATCGTCATATATTGACAAGGTAAACGAGAATACAATGTACACTTGATAACTGCACGTTAAATTGCAAAAATATATTTACAAGCATACGTTGAAATAATAAACTCCTCCGTACCACACAGACGCGAGTCGTTCAAAATATGCTATTATTACACACACGCAAAACATCATACAGAAATAGCAAACATTTATACAGACATGTGATATCACTTTTCATTTGTATACTCGTCAACTATGAAATGTAATGGTTAACTACGAAATGTAAAGAAAGCTAGAGGTCAAACATTTTATTGGCAATAAATATAGCTAGGAGAATTTAAAAGATTGCTTCACCCGACAATTAATATGAAAGACAAATGAATTTAAGAAGGAATAACCAATGGTAATAATACTTTCACTGATTTACAAAAAAAAAATTGACGAATGCCACACTAAATTTCTGTCTCAATTTGATCGCGATTATATTAATCTTATACATAGATTTCATTTAACGTAATCAATTACGATTCCAAAACCTGTAAAATGTTAAATAATTAATCGTGCATTTTAAAGATACAATATTGTAGGATGAAGATGGCGCGACGCGTTCGGTGGATGAGGTAAAATTGAATTTAAAAACAAGTTGCTAAACTTGTTTAACCAGAAGACAAATACTTTTACCTCGATAATACGATATGATAAATAAAAACCGATGACTCAGATCTCCCGTGACACTTCATCTTAAATGCATTGCACATTTAATTATGTATCTTCAATCTGCAGGTGTTACTATGGAATTAAGCAAGCGGCAGTTCTGAACGGATTTAAAAGACGTAAACATTTTTGGAAAGCAGGTTTGCAAATTGTAATCTAAGTAAAGAAACATAACTATACGTATTTATATTAGGTTTTAAATGACAGATAATTTATCCTGTTCTGTTCTTTCTTAATTTGCATGAAAAGAGTCATCATCCCGATGCGCTGCACGCACGTCATGTTTCTCAGAAGTACTGCAGAAACGATTCGAAAATAAATACGTTGCAATAACGTTCCCAGTCATTTCCATGCAGCGAGTGTGAGAGAGAGCGAAGAAAATTCTGCTCGAAATTGCGAAAGAATATACGTTTAAACGTCTGTAAAGGGCGCGACGAGAATCGGAGGCATTGCGGTTCGGCTTTGTTGCTTTTGTTCGGAGAACGGTCGTGGAACAAGGTCACGCAAGTAAAATGGCAGTCGCCGAGTAGAACCCGGCCGCGTCTCGATTATAAGGACTGGAAATTCCTGTAATTAGAATCGGAGGAAAGATGAACGCGCGTTTCGGGTACAGGACGTTCGTTTCGAAATCGAAGACCACCGGTTGGCATCGTTGGATCACGCAATAAGGCGCACCGCCGGCTTCCCGTCACGAGTTTCAGTCGTCCAAGCGGCGTATTCGAAAGAGTCAAGCCGCCGAAGCCGGACGCGATCTTCCGCGCTCTCCCGCATCTCGTGGACTCGTGGATCGTCTGTAAATCGAAACCGACTCGTGGGAATCGATCGACTCATAGGATCAGGCTGCACGGTGAACGAAGGGCATTCTTGATGCCGACGAACGTGGTAGCCTAGAGCGGTCGTTGACAGAGCCAGAGACCGGTTTCAATTTTCCCTGTCTCGAGTTTACCGAGCTGTTTGCGAGCGGTTCGGGATTTCTGGAAACTCGTCCGTGTGCCCGGTGGATAGCTGGTGAAAAGAAAGAAAGAGACGACGTGACGTAACTACGCGGTATGATAATAGATACGAACGTTGTTGGCTGGTTGCGTTCACGATCAGATAAACGGATCGAAATCGTGTCTGACAAAAGGTTTAGTTGGTGCTTGGTCCTCGCTGCGGAATATCCAAGTCGACAGCAACAATGAAAATGGAGGTGAGTCCTCAATAACGGAGATCATTCAATTATATTACTCGTAGGATCTATTGTATGCGACGTGTAAAAGCGTTTCGAGTACAGTTAACACCTGACGCTACAAATGCTGTAACGATGTTTACGTTCGATGGAAGTTACCGTTTGAATGATCTGCTACACAGCGGTACTTTTAATGATAATCGACCCGGGAAATGTCAACGGGATTTCCGATCTCTTCTGTGAGCGTTTCTGATCTCAATACGGATCGACACCGTAATGAAAAATTCGCGAGTTCACACGTTTACTGCTCTCGAAAAACTGGTCGGGCGACTATTTAAATCAGCTTGTATCCTTTGACGCTTTCTTCATGGAATGTTCGATTTTCTCGATACAGTTCGAATTTGATCGAGACGTACCTGACTCGTGATTAAAACCCGCAGGAATATTCGACAGGAATAAAGAGGCAACTTAACCGCGTATGGGAAACCATAAAACGGAGAGGAAGCGGTGATTAACACCGACCGGGCAGATTGTGGACAAACTTAATCCGAATGCAAACTGATAGCTGAGAGTAGCTGGCGACTCGCAGTTGCATTTATTGCAGGAATGAACCGGTATCTGAATCTTTCACACCGTAGAGAATTCATTTTTAAACCGAGCATTATTTACTGTTTTCGTGAATGTTAATTCTGACGTCTCGTTGCACGTGCAACGCTTGAGCGATTTTTACAGGCGACGAATTATATAGTTCGTGACCAACAGTGTTCTATGATATGGTACCGTAAATTAGCCGCGGTTTGAATATTTATTAAACGCCGTGGAGCGTAATTATCGCAAGCTCGTCGCGTTTCCCAAGACGCTGTTTAATTTAACTACGTATAAGGAATGTGGGTCGACGTCGATTGCAGCACGGTTAGTCTCGTTTCCAAAAGAAGACAGATCGACAGATGGTTCGATGTCGCGCGTGAAAAATTGAACAGCTGTCGCGACGGTAATAATACCGTTCAAGGTATTAGAGATCTATCGATGGTGCAACTCGCGAACATGTCCGCGTACTCGAATCGTTTATCAAGGACCCCGATCCCATGCAGTGTCGACCTCGAAATTCGCTTTGCCCTCCATCGAAATCGAGCGTGCATCAGCAGCCAAGAATTTTGTAAGTCGGCCCCACCGGACCGCCGCGGATGAGAACGACGCGAGAAGCGGACGAGAATCATCGGAAAGATGATCGTTGGCCCATTTTTTTTAGAAAGGTACGGGTTACAGTTAAGCAGCCGTAGGTAGTAGCCGCCGCGGCGTTCAGTTTTCAATGAGCAGCATTCCGAACGGTTAGCGGCCAGCCTACAGCTGCTCACCTGGAAACCCTTCAAGAACTCGTTTCAGTAATATTCGGTTCCTACGCGGAAGTGCGGGTGAAACACTTGAGCGAGCTTGCTTCCCTCTGCGAGCCACGAAACCCAGGTCTCTCGTTCTCTACCTTTCGTTTTAACTCGCTGTCATCAGAGACCCAGAAACGTGTCCCGTGCCGATGTTCTTTTTTCAACGAGTCATTTGATACACCGTCTGTTCTCCTTTTGTGTTAAGTTCAACTTGAACTAATAGTTCTGTGCGTTACGTTACGTCAATGCGGTACCTGGAAACTGTGAGATCAATCGGGACGGTGTAATCCACCATGTGAATGGAATTCAAGGAATTCTGAGACCGAGACGATCCCGTGATTGATTGGCCGAGTTCTATTGTTCGGAGGCTGCGATGATACTACGAGACCGTTCTTACGAGCCGACGAAACGGTCGCTAATTACACGCGTTTCCCTCGCGTCCCGTGATCTGCATTCAAAGAGATTGTTCTTTCACCGCGTGGGAACCGAGCGGCGAATGAAGCTACCGCAGACTTTTCTGGCACGAATTTTTTTTTACAAGAAACCATCGCGATTTACTACTTAGTCTTTTCTTTTAAAAAAGATCTTGGAAAAGTAAAACGCAATAAATTATCTTTTGTTCTGGGTTATCGGTAAGCTCGCGATGAATGGAAAGTAATATTTCTATTTGGTGACCAATTTCAGCGATAAGTCTATTGTAATCCTTGGAACATCGAACGTTTCTTTGAAAGCTATAATTAAATTTCCGGCTTGCCACACACAAGTCGTGAATAGAAATCGACAACACACATAGATTGAGTAAAAAATCATGTTATCGGCATTGTGATCTTTAGATAGCCGGGTATTGTTATCGCCGCTTTATCGAGGTGACTGAGTCACATACGATAGTCTTGTATGAGCGACATTCGTTTCGGGCCTATCACAAATTCTCGTTCGACTACGGAACCGGCCTTGACTTCGATCCACAGAACCGTGATTAACCGACATGAGACTTCCAACTATCGCAAAGGAGCGCGCACAACGTTTTTATTCGCCATCAATGAAATATGAAATCAAGGAGATAATGCGATTGCGAACTTAATCGATAAGATCTAATTAGCAAGATAAAGTATTGAATAGTTCAATACATTCCACTGCTAACGAAAAATTAATTTACTCGTGAGAATAGTTCTCAGTTCGCAAGACGTCGACTCACTTGGAGAAGAGCTTGGTAATTCGAGTGACGTTTAAATCGGTGTGATTTCTGTCTTCTTCCACCTTCCTCCAACAAAGTGAAAATATCTAATAAGTTCTTTAAAACGTAGTTAAAGAGCGATCGATTAATTCTGTTTGATGTTTGTACAAAGCAAACGTAAAGCCACTTTTATGCAGTATCCTAATTAGTTTTTCCAAGAGCGTAGTATAAAAGTTCTGATGAATCGTATAGACGAAGGGAGAAGAACGGGTCAATCGTACGTCGTCGTGTCCAGCTAGTTTTCTGGAATTCGCTTCCCGTTAGCGGTACGATCGTCTAAAGCAAGCATGGAATTTGATTCGTCTCGCGGTTTGTATATTTTTTCTTGTTCCTCGTTCGCTCGAGGAGGAGGAGGATGAGGAAGGTGGGTACCTACTCGCGTAACAGGAAGGTTCGTAGACCGCGAAGGCGTCCGTAGACCAGTGTTTAGACCGGTCGCACGGTTCATGTTGAAATTAGAATCGAGGTTCAGGGGTCGGGTTGCACCATCGTTAATTCAACAATCTGAAACGGCGCGGCTTCTGCAATTACGCGAGGCCTACGTGGATGCGGATCCGCGTCCGTCGCGAGGTAGAATTAAACTGAGTCCCCGAGTGGAAAAACGAGACAACGGAGGATTTTACAGGTCGCTCATCCATCAACGTCTTTCTCCGTGCGCTCGGGACCGGAAAAAAGAACGCGTTTAACAGATTTGACTCGAACGAGAATAGAAAGACTCGAAATTGCTGGGGGAATGGAAAATATGAAAGTTTAGAGTTGCGAGCGCTTCGGAATTGAATTCTTCTTTCTTAACTCGACTTCGTTCGAAATTAATACAGTTCTGTTGTCCGCAGGCAGAGCATAGGCTGGAGCAGCTGAAGAAGGCGACGGACAGAATACAGAAGGAGATTGAAGAGGTCACGGAGAGGGAGCACGAGCTCAGAAACGTAGGCAGCATTAAGACCACGTCTCACGAGACGGTGGATTCCAAGGTAGGTTCGAAACCTCTGCTCCTCGTGTTTACACACGCGTCTCACGTGTAGTGGTGCACACGTTCGACGTGGCCATGCTCAAGGTCGTTGAACGAAAGAAAGAAAGAGTTAAATGCTTGACGCACAGTACTGCTCCTTGTAAGGACGAAATGCACCGGACCGCTCTGACGTCCGTGAGCGGCGTGGACGCGATTCAACGATTCGCGACGTGACCACGGTTTCAATCTTGTTACGGGCGTGATAAGGAAAAGAGTTATTCTATCGATGATAAAATTAACAATGATTTTAACCGAACAACAAAGTTGTTTTACTGATAAAAGCTCAACCTCGCTGCTGATTCACAGAGCATCGAACACGGTGATCACGTTATCTTCGATTAAGAAAAAATGCTTGAATTCAGCAGTTTATGTACGACGTTTGCATCGTATGAATTTAGAAAGTTCAATGTAAATCGAAGGGAGGTAGACGCGTAGACGCGGTAACGGGGCGATCGAGTTCTTAAATTAGTTTCGCGTGCAAGGTATTCCATTCACAGAGCGGAATCAATTAGTATATTAAAGCTTCCTTCTGCGTTCGCGTAGGACGCGTTTAAACAGAACGGAACTAACGAGCCTCGCCGGCCGGCGGTGGCGATAAACTTTCGTTCGTCAAATTCGTGGCACGCTTTCGATAACGGAAACAGGCGTGCAATCTCCGGGGTAACAATCGCGCGATTTGATGTTACCGTAAGCTAATTAATCGTAACGAGCGTGTGAATTAATAGCCATGATAACTACGAGATGCAGCGGCACGCGCATTTATAGCAACAGGTTGCAGACTTCGAATTGCCGTAAGGCGAACAGGATTTCGATGAACGATATCTTATCTACCGATACGTTGAACTAAATGCAATATTCTTTCCCCGTCCAACTGCCTTTCTCGCTTGTGACGCAGCTATTATTGTGTCGCTGATAACAATAGTTAAAAATGTAACTAATTTACGTACGTGAATAACATCGTGAATTACAAAGGTCGTGAACAACATATTTTCTCGGGAACTTGTATGAAATCGTGAACGAAACACTAGTCCTCGTAATTTCTCGTTCAAATAAATCGAAGAGTAAACATATATATGAATACCAGGTGCGACGCATGCCACAAGCTTTAGTTTCGGGAAAGTTGAAGAGGACAACGTCGACGCCGCAAATTTTGGAAGCAGTCAGTCTGACACCCTCCACGCCACCTTTAACGCCAAAGATGACGAACGGAGTAATATCCAGTCGCACCACTCCGACACCTCTTCGTTTCGCGACCGCACCCAGTCAGAAAGGGTTGATGCACAGGTTTCTGGCCACTCGAGGGAAAATATACAAACCGAAATCGCCGATGAACGATACCTTGACACCGCCTACGACGCCTACCATCGCGCTCAACCCGTTAAGCGTGAAAGCCTTCAACAGGAGCCTGGAGATCCAACTCGAGCCGGACGACGAGCCGAAGAAACCGCCGGTTAGGAAAGGATACGTTCCTGTCGAAGAAAAAATACAGAAGGAACTGCACGAGATGAAAGAACGAGAGAACGAGCTCAGGTAACGCACCGAAGAAACCTGCGTGTTTCTTTCATACCTCCGTAGTTGCGACTGTAATTACCTACATTAATCTTTTCTACGATTCGATTTAATTTTCAATCATACATTGTCGGATCGAACGTATCGTCGAGGTAAATTGATTGCTTCAATAGAAATAACTGAGACTCTTTCTGCTATGCGAAATAACAAACGATCATGTGAATTTCTAGATTAATGCGGTCGCAGATGTTGGCCAAATCTCAGCCAAATCTTCTTGACATCGGGAACGACAATGATTCCGATATTTACGACGGTTCGAACTCGTTGAGAAGCGGTACCTCGACAAACACTTTGAACGAGGACGAAGTGGAAAAAGAAACAAAAGGAAAACACAAGGTATTAATGTCGTAAAAGTATTTATAGTATACAGTGTTTAATCTGTGCTATAATTATTCGTCAGTGATTATCTTTGTTATTGAATTGAGAAAATGTATTCTCATTCTTTCAGCCTAATCCAAGACGCCGAAGTACTCTGATCGCACAATGGGAGAATTTGATTGCTGCGAAGAAAGAGTCTAACGACAACAACAACGAAAACGATTTAAACTTCTAAGTTTGCTCGTTCTGTAAAAAAGATTAGCAGTCAATAATGCGTCTCCGTTCTCTTCTAAATTTTTATATATCGTTCAAAAACGATTCGGTATTTTCACGCCTTTCGAACTGCAATTAAATATTTCTGATTTTATCCCTCTGTTCAGTTCGTAACCTAATTTATTTATGATGTTATATTAGATATTTATTATCGGGCATGAAAAAGATTTATCTGATTAATCGTACATTCCATGTATGCTCCCTTTCTTAAATTCAGTATTAAAAGATTAGAAGGGAGCGTTATCATCCCCTTCTTAAAAAAATACTTTTAAGTACTACAAACACATATGTATATTTAATATATCCGCTTGTTAATTGTAATATATCTATTATTATATGTTATATATAGCCACGTAGAAATACGAAAATGACTGAGGAGAATAACAGCCAAGGGTTCTCTTTAACATTTATGGTGTGTATATTTATAATTATTATTAATCATGTTATGTACTTAATTGATTGTAAAAAATAATTGTATTTGATTTATCTGCGGATGTAATTATAGTAACGAAATAAGGATGAGAGACTGCTGTCAGCATCTTCCCTATTATTAATGAATATAATCGAGAAATCCAGTTTTATACAGAAAGAAATGTCGGATAAAAATTATGTCGAGCTTTTACTTTCGAAATAATTAGATACTGTAAGTACTAAATACCACGGGAAATCATGCATGTTAGGAAGTATAGTTCCTCTACGATTATGATTACAAAGATTCATCTCACTTCGATGAGATGACCAACTCAAAAAGTTGGAGCGACATTTGGGCATTCATTAAAAAGAAAGTCTTATATAAATGAAATCAGCCTGCATACATCATCGCGTTACTCACAATCACACGGTGTATTTGATATATAAGTTGAATGTTTTTATGTATAATTATTAATTGTATCATTAAATGATAACGATGAAAATTCTTGCTTTAATTGCGGCCTATTCCCAACTTCCAAACTGCTCATATTATCAGTGCAGTCAACTATATGTATAGATATATGTACATAACAATACAATCACGGAGGGTGTCATATAATACATACATAGCACGTATAGATTATAGATATAACGTTTCTCCACGTGCTCTCAAGTGAAGTTACAGCAATGAGTGAGTCGAACGTTGAAATTATGAACACGATGATAAACGAAGAAACTGAGGTTTTACTATTAATAAATTCGATTGGAAACGAAGGTAGGAGGATATTTCCGAAATATCTAGCTCTGTTTACGGCGAAATAGGTTATCGTCTATCATTTTTATAAAACAGCTAAGATTTCATTTGATTTTGCAATCTTTTAGATCGTGTATTACCGCTTTCCGTGAAACAGATATTAACTGGACAATACGAGGATGTGATAAACAATGAATTATCTTCTAACCTGATTAATGAATTAACTGACAGCAACGATCTGTCTAAATTGATACACAGCAGTATAGAAAATGCTATTGCACGTGATTCCTGGCTGTGTGCTGGCATAGCTTCGTTGTTATGTTTTGTTCAATGTAATTGGACAGGACCACAAATTGAGAAGACCATAGAATGGTTGAACATTAAAGAAGAAGACGTACTTAAAGATTTATCCTTGCACGATGAATGCAATAGAAATGTGAAGCTGCCAGAGCTACTTCAGTTTGCTAAGATCATATTTTCTAACGAAGTTCTACAAAACACTTACAAGAGCTCTATATGGTGGGCATTCAGGGCAAATCTCATACACCAGCTTATATTGAATGAAAGCTCTGGCGTGTTGTACGAGGAAACGGAGGAGTTGATTCAGAAAGTCTGTGATTCAGAATTGTTGAAAGAGAATTTATATTGTGAAACATTGTTTCACATCGAGGCTGCACAGTTCTATTTTTATTATAGGAGAATTCTAAATTCAGAGCAGCACGTTGAATCGGCTAAAGAAAGAGCAAATTTAAGTTTAAGTCTCGAAGGTGCATTGGGTAGACGCACAAAGTATCAACAAGAGGATAAAGCACAGCTGTTCTTAAAGATAGATCTAGGAAAGGATCAGTTTCCCTCTAGAACTTGTGAAAATGTACCGAAATCTTTAGACTTGAACGATGATATCAGATTGGAACATATTCAGTTTTCAGAAAGTATAGAAAACACGCAGCTGGGAGCAGTAGAGGAAGCTATCATATTAGCAAAACAGTGAGACTACGTTCTATATCTCCTTTGTATTATATTTAGAAAATAAACAGACAGTTATTAACCAGTCCACTTTTCACAGTGTTCAACTACAATTGTCACAGCCGAAAGACAAATTAACAGACGAAGAAGTGATACCCTATTTAACCGTAAGTTTCACTACCTCTTTTATTCTTTGATCGATTATTGAGAATAACGTGTTTCATAGGTCGTGGTGAATAACACGAAGAATTGGTCTTTGAAAGTGGCGTCACTTTATTTCCGATGCCATTTAGAATCCAAGGATAAACGAACCATTGAGAGGTCAATGATGCAAGTAGAATATTTGATACACGAATTGAAGAAGACGAAAGTTTCCGTGGCGAATCGGTTAGATTTGTTTTTTGCCAGTGGTCTTACGCCAATTTGGGCACTAGAAGAATTGTGGGCAAAATTGATGTTGAGTCTCGGATTAGTAAACGGTGCTCTGGACGTTTTCTTGAAGCTCCAATTGTGGGAAGAAGTCATTGTTTGTTACAATGTACTGGAATTGAAACACAAAGTACGTTTCTTGTTTTATCTAATTTATACTTAAACAGGGAAGATAAATTTGTCTGCTATTATATTTTAGGCTGCAGAGATTATTCGTCAAGAACTAGCGAAGAAGCCGACAGTTCAGTTATGGTGTTTACTGGGAGACGCGACCCAAGATCCTGATCATTATGAGACAGCATGGAAATTATCCAATGAGACGAGCTCTCGAGCGCAAAGACATTGGGGATTCTACTACTTCGCAAAGAAAAACGTGAGCGTATACAGTGTTATTAATCATTTTCATTCCCCTCAATAATGATTGTACTTTTTAGTACGCGGAAGCTATACCGCACTTGAAATTGTCTGTCGAACTAAATAATATCCAAGAGAACGTTTGGATAAGACTCGGGTTTGCTGCTCTGCAAACGGAAAATTGGCGATTGGCAGCGTCAGCGTACAAACGTTACTGTGCTCTAGAGCAATCGGTGTGTACGACACTTCGGAATTGCCCATGATTTTTATACAGCATCTGGACGATATTAGAAAATTTCACTAATTGATTCTAGTCGTTCGAAGCATGGAACAACTTGGCGAAAGCTTACATAAAACTAGGAGACAAAGTAAAAGCGTGGAAATCTCTCCAAGAAGCCATAAAATGCAATTACGATCGATGGCAAATTTGGGACAATCTGATGGTCGTTAGCGTCGATCTAGGACATTTCTCGGAAGTACGAATAACATAAAGTTAAATTGGATCCTTTGGTAAAATTAGATATTTAATATCAGCTTCCAATTTCCGTTGTAGGTCATACGATGCTATCACCGAATCTTGGATCTCAAAAATCATCATTTAGATATTTTAATTCTCGACATATTAACGAACGCAGTATTGAATAATATAAATGATTCGGATGGGAATCCAGCGCGAAGATTATTATTAAAAGTCTTAGAATTATTTGGAAGAATCAGTTCCTCTATAACTAACAATCCCGATGTTTGGAGAATGTACGGACAACTTACAGCTTTGAAAAAGACCGATATCGATTATGACAAAGCGGTGCACTATTTGCAACAAGCGCATCGTTTTGCTATAGCGGATCCTAAGTGGCTTCTACAAGAAGATTCAATTAAAAAAGTACTCAATCTATGTTCTATATTAGCAGAGACGTATTTGCATTATGCTTCTGATTCTGAACACAAGAAGAAAAGGACATTATTAGGTAGCGCAAAATTATCTCTTCAAGGAGTCGTGAAAAGAGTTAGAGATCAAGGATCGAGCAGTGAAAAAGTTCTTAAGAATTTAGAAACAGTCGAGGAATATTTAAACACTATAGTTGCCGAATTGGATAAAATAAAATAAACGATTTCAGTTTAACCATCACACTTTGTACTTCCTTTTGCAATAAAAAACTTAATAATTTTATAAATATCTGTTAATTTGCATCATTTCTGATTTGCATATCATTACGGACGAGCATGTTAAGATTCAAAATGGTTGATTTTACGCGCTGTTCGTCATTGTATCCAATGTATCCATAGTTACTATCTCCTTCCATAAATGATTCGTAAAACATTCCACGGTGATATCTTGTAGGTATATCGATGACCAGAACCGGCTTTTATAACTTTTAACACATAGAAGCTGAAATCACTTGACGATCCGCAAGCGAATTGTGAAAATCGCCGTTTTCAAATCCTTTAAGAACACGTTTCTATTACGGTGAGTAATAGATAATAAACAAAATCGTACGAATTTATATTTCAGTATAAACAATTAACGATGAATTATGTTCTTTTTTTTCAGATGGCATTCGCAGGAAAAGTCGTGCTAATAACTGGAGCTAGTTCGGGTATTGGGGCAGCGACTGCGTTGCACTTTTCCGAACTCGGAGCATCGTTATCGTTAACAGGTCGTAACGTGCAGAAATTAAACGAGGTTGCTGCAAAATGCAAATCTAACAAACCGTTCATCGTAACTGGAGAGTTGACTAACGAAGCCGATGTAAAAAACATCGTACAGTCTACCATTAAACATTATGGCAAATTGGACGTTTTGGTCAACAATGGTGGTGTATTAGAAGCTGGAAGCATTGAGAACACCTCGTTGGAACAGTATGATAGGTACAGGTGTCTTTTAATATACATTCATCAAATTTAATCTGTATTATAATTATTGACACGTTGCAGAGTTTTTAATGTAAACGTACGTTCAGTCTATCATTTAACTATGTTGGCTGTTCCTTACATAGCAGAAACTAAAGGCAACATAGTGAACGTATCGAGTGTAGTTGGAATAAGATCATTCCCAGGAGTCTTATCATATTGCATGAGTAAATCAGCAATTGATCAATTTACGAGATGCGTAGCTCTTGAACTGGCACCAAAGAAAGTATGTACGATCGTAAACCAAGTTAATCATAGTAATACTACTTTTCAACGTTTTCTTTTTATTCGAAGGTAAGAGTAAACGCTGTGAACCCAGGAGTGGTAGTAACAAATCTTCATAAGAATAGTGGAATGTCTGAAGAACAATTGAAAGCGTTCTTTGAACACTCCAAACAAACTCATGCATTGGGTAGACCAGGGGATGCTGACGAAGTTGCTAAAGCAATTGCTTATTTGGCAAGTGATGATGCCAGCTTCGTAACAGGTGTAACATTGCCAGTAGACGGCGGGAGGCACATCATGTGCCCTCGTTAATTTATATTTTATATGGGAGCCTGTGCATATTATATATTTTCAATGAAATATTTTGTATATGAAAAGAGTTGTCAATAAACGAACAGAACATTCAATACTGCTTTTCAATTATATAATCCTATACAGACCTCTGAATAAACTTACGAGGGATTAGGATAGTATTTATATACTTAAAGACCACATTTAACGACTAATGATCGAAGTATAAAAAACAAATATGTATAATTACAAGTAATAGACTGTAAAAGAATTTTTGTATTCGAGTTTCCTTGTTACTAACCGAAGTTAAAGATACATATGAATGCAAAAAAACTTTTGCATAGATAACCCATAAGTTACAAAGTAGGATTATCAGTGATTCTGAAGTAACACATCGACTTTCCACGTGTCGCGTTTTACATAATATTTCCGAAGTAAAATAACCGTATAAGCCCGATATGTCGAAATCAATTCATTCATACTGTCACGGGTATTAATCTAAGCCGATTTAAGTAAAAGGAATGATGAACAAATATGCCACGTCAGGAATGTGAAACAATATGATACTTTTTATCTTCCTTCCAGTCTCAGAACAGCCAAGACTATATATCATGAAGCATTAAACCAACAACGATAGTTACTGATAGTTACTTGTCTGACGCGAAACTAAAGTGCGTTATGAGATGAGTCCCAGAAACTTGCCGTATTTTTTATCCGGATTGGTGGTTAGGGGTTTCGGGAGAGGTTCCAAAGCGTTGGGAATACCAACAGGTAACATTTGATGATTTCGTTATTGTCTGATCAATTTGAACGTATCGAAATTAAACGGGAGCAATTCAAAATTGTCTTAAAGTTGCAGGAGATAAATCGACTATAGAATCTTCTAAATGAGGAGCGTATTCGTTCTTACGTAAATAGTTGCAAGCGGAAACATATGAAACTTCAAGTTTAAAGAACTTGTTCGATTCATTCGTAGTTTAAAACATACAAATAAATACGTATGTCGTAGATGAACTACAGATTCCCAAGTGAAACTATGGCCGGTATTCAGAGTCATTGCTTATTCTTAAGATTGTCTTAAGCATTTGCTTAAGCACCTGTTCCCTGTACAAAACAAGGACTGGAAATGTGGGTTAGACAGGGGTAACAAATTCTTAAGACGGTCTTAAGAATAAGCAACGACTCTGAATACCGGCCTATGCAACTGTTATATTCAGTGTGAAATTTGTTTTCTTTGTAGCAAATCTTGAAGACAAGGTGGTAAACGGTTTACCAGATGATTTTGATACCGGAATTTATTACGGATGGGCTTCTTTAAACGGAGAAACTTATAAAATGGTTGCGAGTATCGGTTGGAATCCATTTTACAAGAATGAAAAGAAGACTGTGGTACGTACAGAAATCACGTAATCACTTTTGATAACGTGCTGGTTGGATTTTTAAAAACGAAACCTCGTCACCGTAGGAGATTCATGTACTGCATACATTTGAAAACGACTTTTATGGAAAAGAAATTCAAGCAATTTTCACGGGTTTTGTAAGACCGGAGAAAGATTTCACGTCCGAAGGTAAATAAGAAGTATTAAGAAGTTGTTTCTTTGTTCTTAAAATTAAATTATATTTATATCATTTTAGCGGAACTGATCAAAGCAATAAAAAGCGACATTGCATTCGCTGAAGAACATTTGATCCAACCAGATATGCTAGCTTATAAAAACAAATTCCTTACAGGGTAGATGAATCGTGTAATATTAATTTTCATTTTAAATGTTGACCAGTTAGATTTTTACATTGCTATTTGCACATGATTTATACACGATTGATATTCCCCCTTTCTGATATTCAAAAAATGTACTAGCTCACTTTTAGGAACAGTACTCATCAGTATTAAAATATGCAGATTTTATGACAAACCTTTGAACGCTTACTCCATGCGTATACAAATTATATCCCCTAAATTAATATTTATATGTATAAAAATGTAACAATTATAATCTTTTAAATAAAATGTTAAATTACCGAGATTTAAGATGTGTCTGATGGTGATGAAGCTGGAGGTGGCGGAGGTGGAGGTAAGGATGTCCATGGCGATCTCATTCGCATAGGGAACTGTGGTATTGGTGGTGGCCAAGGTACGTGTGAATTCGGAAGTCTTTCGTTCCCAGACGAATTTGGATAATTTTGAAATGATAAATATCCAGAAGGAATTCTTGGACAGGCATTGAAAGGAACTCGAGGATTCAAAAGTGGTGTGGTAACGTCTTCGCCGTAAAAATTTTGTGAAGCATACATGTTCTGATTCACACCCTGCGCAGGCTGTGCCGCATATGCTCCGTATCCGTACTGTTCAGCATTACTTTGATAAAATTGTGACCACAAATTTTGCGATTGATCATCACTTTGCATGGGAGAGAATTGTCTATCTGTTCGTCGGTAAAAGTTTTGTCTGTTCGCCTGTGGATTTCTGTTCCATGGATGATTTGATTGCCAACCAGTTTTAGGTTCTAGAAAGATAATTATTATAATCATTGAACGTATGTATTAGATATCCTATGAGGTACTTACTCGAAAGACGTTTCCGTTTAGACGGAACTTCTGTCTGGCTCGCATTAGTTGACTGTTTTGCTTTTATTTGCTCATAATAAGCACGTTCTTCCTCGTCATCAGAAAATTCCGGTGGTTCATCAGCGTTCGCATCGATACCTTTCATTCTGCAATCGAGTATTCGTTAGTAATATGTTGATAACATGTTTAAACGAATGTTAGAAACAGAAAGTTATAATTACTTCAATAATTCATGGAGAAACACTAAAGAAGTGTATTCAGTATTTGGGCAATAATAAACGGTCATCCCTACTTTGACGTCGGATTCTTTTATATGATCAGAGCTGTTGAATCTCACGCAGTAATGGGGTTCGTTTACTTGCCCGAAGACGTCAAATATTTTACCTAATGCCCTTTCTCCTCTTTGTATGAATAGTATCGTGTCCAAATTCAATGTCGGTTTTTCAGGCTTTGGCTTTACAACTACCAATTGCTCCACCATCCATGCAACCTTAAATTTTCATTTGATCATGATGCTTTACATTTCATGATTTTATACATTATTTTAGAATGTATTGATTACCTCTCCCAGTGGATCACATAACACTTCGGGTACGCTTATTTTCAAGTCCTCGATAGGAGGTAGATCATCCAATTCACTTCTCACTTCATTATTTTTTTGTCCTTTTCTAGTACTCCCCGTCCGTTTCCTAATGGTACAAAAATTATTATATAAAATAAATTTACATACTCTATAAATAAGAAACTTACTTATTTGAATCATCATCACTGTCTGATTCATTTGGTTCAATTGGTACTATGGAAGAATCATTGCTATCACTAGAATCATCATCACTATCTTCACTTTCAGTTTCACTTTCCTCGCTTGATGACGATTCCTTATTTTGTCTATAAGCTTGTTCTTGTATTTCTTTCAGCTGTTCACTTTGATTAATTTCACATTTTGTTTGATCAGTTTCATCTTCTGGTTCTGAATCAGAACTGCCATATTCTATGGCAATGGCACTAAGAGAAGATATCTTATTACTTTCTATTGAAACAAGAACAAAACGTTATAACCCAAACTCATAGATGATATTATAATGAAGAAAGATGTTGCAACTCCCTTACCTTGCACCGCAGATGTTATACTATTTTCATACACGATACAAGGATCATCTTCTAGTCTTGAACTTTCAAATATTGTTTCTTTATGTACAAATTCATTTTCTTCTTGATGTGTATCATTTATGCCATTCTTATCACAGCAGTTTTGTATGTTGTCGTTATTAACAAAGATCATTTCACAATCATTCAATCCTTTCTTTTCTGCGACATCATTTTGTGGAATATCCTCGCATATCAATGAACAATTTTCGGTAGTATTTACATCGATGTCTTTACTAATGTTTGACACATGCTCCATAAGTTCATTGTTTGAACTACTATTGTCTATTGCTTGGTCTATTATAATCTCGTTCGTATCCATTTGTAGTTTATATTATTTTAACTTGGTTACAATATTAATAACTTACACACTTATAAAATACAGATCAAAGTACATAAACACGATTAGAAGATATACAGAGAAACATACTTCTTGTATGTTGTTTCACAAATTGGACATTTTATGTATGATCAGTGTCGTAAAATTCAGTTTCAGTTTCACCAATTCTTTGTTTATCACATGAGGAGTGTTCTGGCATTTACCACGTGTTGTAAACTTGTAAATTGTAAGTTTTGAGGAATCTCGATCATAGCGCCATCGAGGAGATAGCGCTGTTCGTCGATGAATAATAAAATTCAGATAATATAATTATAGAGCAGGAGGTATAAAAATAAAAGAAAATTAGCTGCGAATTAATTAGTTCCGACTCTCGGTTTCCATATATATTCTGCAAAGAATTGTAGATCCGAGAAAGGTGTAATTTTAAATTTCAGCCATGGCGACCATCATACGCGCGACGATCCTTTCATCCGGCGCCATTGCCGCCATTGCCCGGTGCATTGTTCGGCTGAGTTCTGTGTATCATGCACCGGCTTCAATCCTTTAACCGTGAAGTCCTTGGATAGTTGGTTTCAACGCTTGTTTTCACGATGCATTTATTACTTCAGGTAATTCTTTCAACTAGTTCACAACGTGTTCTCACACCATTATTTCTAGACTTTCATTTGCATTTGCCTCTCGTGCACTGACCGCACTCGCACTTGCGTCGTAGCGTCAGTTCTTTGTTGCGTAGTTCAATATACCGGCTATCGACTTTAAACCTCTCTTTTACGCACGTAATTGTTATTCATGTAAACGCTTATTTACGACTCTTACTTCGCGTAAGTATTATAATTACTATTTCTACAGTATTATTAATTTCGATTGACAAATACGCGTTTGCTTAAATTACTGTTGTTACATTTTCATTTCATTAATAAATTTTATTTTCACACAAAGTTCTAAATGTGCGTTTGTTCTGATTCCATTGCAGATTCCGAACAAGTCTGCACTTTGGCACATCTGCGATGCTTCGAGCTATCTGGTGGACCAATTATTTTTATTAATTTATAATTAAAGTATGTATTTGTAAGACGTATTTTATTCTCTCGTGACCACATTTACAATAGTTTGAATAATCTTTTTTCCACTCTGATAATTCAAAAGATTCAAAAGAGGGTCCTTCATTTTTTGTTCTAACAATTTCACTAGTTCCATTCTCATCCTTTGTAAAAGTTGAGCCACCTAAATGAAACAAGAGGATATGTACATATATTTTAAGTAGCATTAAAACTATCTGTTTTAATTCAAAGAAACATTCTCTTACCCTATGCGATTCAACGCTGAATAAACTCCAACCATCTTCTAATGATATAATAAATATCCCATTATGCTGTTCTATCTTCAGTTCGTAATCAGAAAATAAGATTAACGGTAAAATTGGCACCATTGATACTTCTTTAATAAATACTTTGCTCGTTTTCACTTTCTCTTGGAATACTAAATACGGACTAGAAAAATGGCCAACGTGAAAGTTAACAGAGGATGGGTGAATGCTGACAAAACCATCGTTCTTAGTTTGGAATCTAAGCTCTTCGGGCTTAGGATGTATAGGAATCGCTCCAGCAGATTGAACTTGAAATGATTTTTCTGGCGTGAAAACTTTTACTACGTTAGGGTATAACGCAGCACAGAGTAAACCTTGAAGTAGTTTGTAATTGTCATTGTTGATGTTCAGATCAAGTCCAGTGATCTCCATGATCTTATCAACGTTCGGCTGCCGTTTAGGTAAATTAATAGAGACGAAACCGATCGAAACTAGTAGTTCTAAGAACTGATATTTTATGTCCGCCAAAGTATACAATGTACGCACGGAAAGATAATTTTCATTTGCAAATGTATGACCTGCGATATTGCTGCGAGTACATGCTTCCAACCATTTCTGGAAAATGAAACAGAAAAAGTATATAGACATGCATATTATAAAAATTCGTTTCATTGCATTACCTTGTATGCTTTGAGAATGGTCAGTTGATCGGAGTTGGCAGTAAAGAATTCTTTTTTCGCATCGATCTCGTGCCTCTTTTCGAAAGGTATAGTAAACGGGTTCTTGTGGGATAAACAGGCTGCGATAGTGAGCGCGGAGTCAAGGCAGCAGAAAATTGCTCCAAATAATATTAGCTTTCCAATTCGCACGTTCACGGGCAACGCTGCGAGATGATGACCTAACGGTGTTAACGTACATTCGGAGTTAAATGCACCAACATCTTGCAGACGTTTAATCGCGCTCGAGATATTTTCATCCGTCGGCGGTTCCAACATTTTACCTAAGTAGATAAATGAACAATCAAGTATGCAAACAGTAAGAAAACAATGAAATAAGTAAGAAAACAAAGAATAGTTGTTACCTAAAACTTTATGTACATCGATCTTCTTTCCTGCATTCAAAAGTTGAATTCGTAATAATAGTGGTTCTAATGGGATTCGTAGTATCTCAGGTACTGGTTGTGCTGCGAAATTATATTTAAACCTAAGGGATTAACTTGTATGAATACATTTTTATCTACGTACGATGTAGTTACATAATTATCTAAAAAACAATCGTACTTGTACGAGGTGTACAAATGAATGCATACTCCAGGCATCACACGACCAGCTCGACCTTTTCGTTGCAACGCATTTGCACGCGATACCCAACACGTTTCTAAGCTTTCCATGTTCTGATTCGAATTAAACCTGGTCTCTTTCATCTTTCCACTGTCGATCACAAAAACGCAATCGTCTATTGTAATCGATGTTTCTGCAAGGTTCGTACTCAATACGATCTTTCTAACGTCTCCAGTATTTTTGAAAACTAAATTCTGTTCTTCGTTGGACAAAGATGAGTGCAATGGCACAGTAATAAATTTCCCAGTCTTCGGGGAGAGATATTTATTGACGTGTATTCTGTCTTTCATTGTAATAATTTCAGCGAATCCTGGTAAAAATACCTGAAATTGCGATATAAAATGAAACACGTAAAATAACGCGGAAATAAACATTGACTTACTAAAATAGAGCCGGTTCTAGGATAATCGTGTTCACCGAAAATAATCCACTCTAGTAGAGCCTCTATAAGTTCGAAATTGATTTTTTCATGATCCATTACAAATAAGTTCTTGTGCGTTTGCGTACTGTAGTCTTGATATCTATTGACAATTTGATTCAGCGATAGATTCTCGTCTTGAATAGATTCCTTAGGCATGGGGCCAGAGAGTTCTTCGACCTCTGCCGTTTCTAAATCAATTTGCAATTGCTCCCAATCACCTTTGATCCTACGCGTAAAATTTGAATTTTCCTCAAGTACATAATTTGTTCTTTCAAACACATCCTCTAGAAAGATCTGTTCCACAGGAAACGTCTTTCCTGGAATGCATAAAATAGGAGCTCCTTTGAAGTATGAGGAAAATATTTCGCTTTTAAGTGTTGCACTCATAAGTATTACTTTCAAGTCTGATCGTTTCGGCAGTAACTCTTTTAAGAGCATCAGTAGAAAATCACTGGACAAAGGAACAGAACAATTAAATTAAGATAGACAAACGTATATAATGAAAACGTACCTCTCTGCGCTTCTCTCGTGTACTTCGTCAACGATAATATGGGTAACATCTGTCAATTCAGGGTTCATAGAGAACCTTTGTAACAGTATACCAGTTGTACAAAATGTTAATCTAGTTTTATGCGAAATTTTACTTTCTAATCGTATTTGGTATCCTATGGTATCACCTATACGTTCATTTCGTTCTGACGCAACTCTTTCTGCCACCCCTATCGCGCTTATTCTTCGAGGTTGCGTGCATATTATGTTAACATGATCTTTCGATTTGGATCTATTGACGATCCAACTATCTAATAAAAATTGCGGAACCTGCAAAATGTTTACAATGAAAATTACAAATTGTAATAATGTCGATTAGAGAGATCTATGCTTCATTTACCTGGGTACTTTTACCACATCCTGTTTCACCTGAAATTATAGTAACTTGATTTCCGTATATCATATCTAAAATTTCATTCATTTTCGGCCATGCGGGTAACATTTTTCTAACTTCTTTCATTTTTTTATATTTCGGATTTGTTTGTTTCTCTTTGAAATTTCTTTCAATTAAATCGTCTTCCTTCAGCACCTCTTCCCATTTAATGTTACTTCTATTTTTCTTCTGAGTAGATCCCAATTCGTTACGCGTAGCAGTGTTCCCTTCGCTTCCGTCCTCGGATTCCTTTTGGAATAATACATCGTTCGGATCTAGAAACTGTTCTTTGCTCTCTTCTAAGTATCCTTTTATATCATATTCGTTTTCCAAAAGTGATATTATTGAAAAAATAGAGGGTATTCCATCTTCAGATATCGATAAAGCTTCATCATATAATTTCCGTCCTATTCTTAAACACTTTATAATTGGAAATGTACCATCATTTTTATAAAAATAAAAATAAGGCGGCTCGTACGGATATTTACAACCTGCAAAAGTATTTTAAGAGTCACAGCTATGTTCGGACGATATCATTTAATAGCATTACCTTCAGGAAATCTTATTTCTAAGGTAAAATATGGATCTTCTCTCTCAGGCATTTTCAATACCTCTGGTTGATGGTGCAAAAACCTACATTTAGTCCCAAACCTACATTTCTTATGAAGAAATAATCTACAAACTTCTCTCCCCTTTTCCTTTTCTTGTTTCTTCATTACTCTTTGTATTTCTTCTTCTATTTCATCGTTCCTAACTAAATAATCCAGTTTAACTTGTACAGTCCAAATCTGATCTTTTATCTTTTCAATGAACATTTCTCCGTAAATCGATTCAAGTGCTTCCTTCTCCTCATGTCTTCGTTCTAATAAATCTGCCATGTCTATGTTGTCAGTTATCTTTCTCCTCGCTATGTTTTCCAATCCATAGTATTTATAAAACAGTACTTCCAGAGCTTTTCCTACATCACCTCTCGTATGTAAAAGTGCCTCGATGCAATGCAATTGATGAAAACTAGGAGCAACATATAATTGTGTATAATTATTAATAAAACTCGGCCCTTAGTTTGATAATACTCACCCATAACTTTCAAGTTTAGACGTTGCAAATTGTCTGCTGATTTGCTCGGCAGATTTAGGTGTACTATCTTTATTAGAATAATCGACTATTCCTTTAATAACTAAATTGCCTCTTTCCAACCAATATTGTTTGCCTAAATTGGACGTCTTGTTTTCAAATTCTGACGCATCGGAAAGTTTAAAACTCTATCAAAAAAAGTATGTTAACTTCGAACGACAGACTACGCAAGAAAGGTACATGTAATAAAGCTAGGAGAACGTGTATGAATACATACCGAACCATAAATGTGTTTTAACGTATTATAAAGCTGTCGTTCAGATTCTTCGGTTATTCGTAAAGTTTGAAGTTCTACTTTGAGTTTGCTTGAAGCACGAGGGCTGTTACTTTTAATCTTACTGTTTCCCGATCCATTCCTGTCGAACGTGCACATGAAAAATTGTTATAAATCGAATCGAGGAAAATTTGATTTAGGGAAGAAGAGAAAATCCGATAACAGGATAATTTTAAATGATAAACTCTTATTTCTATTTCATCCGCGTAAGGTTAAATTCTATGCTTACGTGATATTCTTTTCTGCGTGCTTTCCTTCTAATATAATGTCCTCCATCAGTTCGATGTCAGTACGATTCATTTTTTTAAATTAAAAGTAAATTCGTTTCGTGTAGATTAAGAATACAAATATCTTTAGAAAAATTATACAAAATATAGAATCTGGAAGTAGTGACAACAGATATACACAAGTGTACGAATGAGCTGCACTTGTGTGCAGGTCTGTAATAAGCTGTACGTGTATAAAGACCTATTTATTTATATTACCTTAGATAAATTATTACTTTATTTCTCTAAAGACGAAATACAGGGAAACGTTAATCTGACAGCGATGTAGGTAAATGAAATCGTTCTCTTCTTTTAACATACGATAATATATCATGTTTTATTTTCCAAATTATTAATTCACATGACACATACAAATGAGTAAAATGTAACGTATAACGTACATATCTTATTACACGTTTGTATGTTATATATGAAAGTTATTCTTTATTTTATACTTTTCTTTTCAATTTTCGACATTTAAAATCTCTGGTAGCACATGATTGAGGGACCTTTAAAAATAGTAGGGAATACATTAGTGAAAATAAATTGTTTACACGGAGACAGGAAAGATTCTAGGATATCGTACACGTCATTTTGGTTTCGATATTTATTTATAAACAGGGTGACATGACATGCGCCATGGAAAATAGGACATAGCAATGGCTTAAAGAAGAAGAAAAGAACGTCGTGCGTAACAACTACTACTACTACTACCTCGGTTTAATTCTGATGCTCGGTGCATTTTGCTATGTTACTTTTCGCATGCCCCAGAACCGTTCATCGTTATTAGCATGTAACGTTTTCAATTGCTTACGACACGTGAAAAGCATACGCGGACAAATGTTGTGTTTGAGTTCGCAATTCAAATGTCACCGAAGCAACAGAGAACCCGTTCTCGATTCAAGGTATTTTTTCAATCTACGCTATTAATATAAAGCACAATTGATTACTTACATTTACACAATTTACACAAAATTTTTTTTACCATTTCTACCCATCTTTCATTATCGTTCAATATATTTTTCGTGACTTTGATTGCCATAAATAATTAATTCATTGTGTTAGAGAATAAATGACAGTCTTCTTTTATGAACGGACAATTATTGTCTAAAAGAATTTTCGCATGACACATCATGATTCGTTTATAAAAGTATTTGAAATCATGAAATCTCGCTAGCTGGTGTAGTAGACAAATTCTGCTAGTGTCAGAATTAACAGGATTTTTACAGGATTTTTACTACGATATGAAGTAGGATATGTTTTACAGGTGATAACTCCAATTCGATCACTGGTTCTCTGCGGCGAAAGTAGACGAGAAATGGAAGAGTGGTTGAACACATTGAGGACAGTCACAAAAAATCGTAGCCACGCAGATTCCGGAATCGCCGAAATGCTTAGCGGTGATCATCAATGGTATGCAACGAGTCATGCGAGACCAACGTACTGTAACGTCTGCAGGGATGCCCTGTATGGTCAGTGTAGTAGACAATTCATGAGTAGACATTCAGAAATGAGATTATTCTTGCCTTGATCTAAGAACACTATCATCCGTCCAATGCAGGTGTTACTTCCCATGGTTTGAGTTGCGAGATATGTAAATATAAAGTTCATAAACGATGTAGCATAAAAGCAATAAATAATTGCAAATGGACCACATTGGCATCTATTGGCAAGGACATTATTGAGGACCAAGATGGGGTATGCACAGAAAATTTATCAAGCCATTTCTCTTGGATACACCGATTTCTTAGAAACAATCATACTCGTACATACACCTTCGTCATGTGCAAAACAATTACTAGATAATTCGCTGTGTGTCGATACAAATTTCACTTTAATTGAAGAATAATTTATACTTATTAGAATTTAACGTGATTATTTGTCTTACGTAGAACATTACAATGCCTCATCAATGGATGGAAGGCAATTTACCAGTATCCTCAAAATGTTCTGTATGTGAAAAGACTTGTGGCTCTGTGCTCAGGTATAATATTACATCGTGGAAAACATCAATGAAAGAACATAAAATATATATTTATGTATTTGAATCATTCAGGCTTCAAGACTGGAGATGTTTATGGTGTAGAGCTACAGTGCACACAGCATGTAGACCTGCCATGAGTGTTAAGTGTCCACTAGGGCCAGCTAAATTGAGTGTAGTTCCTCCTACAGCATTGCATAGTATAGGTGACATTATGAAATCTGCTAATACACTTTAGTAATTTCAAACATGCTTGAATGAACAGCATTTAATGATGATATTTATTAAGCTTTGATGCCTATGAAGAAGTGATATTAGCAAATAGTAGTTTTACGATACGGTCGTCTGAAATTACAATTACAAATACAAGACTTAAATAGCGTCTATTAATTGTTACGTAGGTAGCGACGAAGCTTGGGAAGCTACTAGACCCATTGGTTGCAGTCCACTTTTAGTATTTGTAAATAGTAAATCTGGTGACAATCAAGGTATCAAATTTCTTAGAAGATTTAAACAATTATTAAATCCAGCACAAGTATTTGATCTTATAAAAGGAGGACCTGGACCAGGGTAAAACTTTCTACTATCTTTCATTTCAACCGAATTCGATCAATGAGAAATTTAAAAATAATAATGCTCTGTAAATAGGTTGAGATTATTTCGTCACTTTGATCCATTTCGTATTTTGGTATGCAGTGGAGATGGATCTGTCGGTTGGGTTCTCTCCGAAATCGATCGGTTAGGAATGCATGTAAGTCGAAACCCCAAAAAATCTTTCTTGTTTTCTTATGAATACAATCGGCTGCATGATTTCGAAGTTTAACTATTGTAGTGTATATAAATTTTCTTTGATTACATCTCTTTGTGCTGTGCAGAAGCTGTAATGCTCTGTAGAGTTATTAATTATCAAAATTCATCCATGATTGCACATGCGTATGCATGAATTATGAAAAGTATATGATTATAGACATCCGTAGAAATCTTGAAATTCGTAACGGGAGAGATGCGTTTGAAATAGAGATAATAAGAACACTTTGTTTTCTTACTATTCGCATGTTTGCACTCGAGTAGTATTGATTACTACTATTACTATTATTCAGAATGTTACAATATTTTGGCTATATGATATGCTGAACGATTCGTATAGACTCGATTTACTTGCCTTTCTCTGAAAGTTCGATCATTTTTAACGGGTATCAGATAGCAGATGACAGTAATTTCACAGAAGGGTTGAGAGAAAATAAGAGGAAGCTTTAATATCTTAAACAAGCATGGCGTGTCTCTTTTTATAATTTTATTTCAGATGATACTGGTGTTTGTGCATTAGGATTCTTTGTATACTGAAGCTTCATTAACTTTATTTGTAGATGGTAAGTGTAAGTTAAGCACGTATTTCTTTAGGATTCCTGAATGTCTTGTTACTCGTCTTTATACATAGTTAACGGTTAAATATTATACCATTATTTACACGTACATCTTATTCACGATTTTACATGATTCTCTATTCTCGTTTCGACACGTTTGCTAGTCCTATTTGTTAGTACAATTATACTTTATGATTTACCCTTTTACACGGATTAAGATTGCCTATTGTAAAGTCACCGTTTATAGTATTATCAATACACCTGTAATAATAAGGCATAGGTCTAAGAAATGTAAATTAGAAAACGATCTTAGGACGTTGACTGAACTTTCATGTAAAGGAGTAATGTTCAAACAATATTGATGTTAGGTTTTACCTACTGAAATACAAATTAGGCTGGGGAGTAGGATGGAAGGAATAGAAATATCTCAGTGTTTTAAAGGAAGATTTCCGGATGAACTTGCAAAAATTCGTTTCTTATGTTTCGTTTATCTTGTTACATAATTCAGTGTAGTTAAGAGACTGGAGCTAACTGTGTTGGAAACCAATGGAATTTGGATTAATGTACAAATGAAATGGATAATTAGTTCCACTGGATTTGGATTTGTAGTGGAATGCTGCATCAGACAATGCAAAAGGTGTGTGACCAAATTGTATGATGTTCAATTGTATAATAATTGTAGACCGCAGCCATAGATGTAATATAAGGTATCATTCAACAGATGTTAGCATCGGTAATTAGATTCATTACGAACCTCGTTGATACAATTAATACGAGAGTCGAAATCTTAATTTGAAATCGCACGGATCGGATAGATTGTAGTTCTTTTGCAAATTGCGATAACGGGAGAGTCGATCTCGTTTCTTAAGGATGTATTGGCTATACAGTCAATCCCAAAAGTTTATATACCTTAGAAAAACGCATTTCCGATAATTAAAAAGAAATCAGACGTCGGGAGAATAATGTTAATAATACATAGCTACGTGCTAAGGAGTATAAAAAGAAATATCCAATTAAGTATTGACGCTGACGAAAAATGTTTCTTTTTCAAAATTGCGGGAAATGCTTCAAATAAAAGTTGTTTTTCTTCTAACTTCGATATTTAACGAGTTACGTATGATTATTTGGCATTTTATTGATGTTGACAAAATCCGACCATCCTAGCGTCGAAACGGCGAACTTTTGGCAAAAAATTTCATTTTTCCTTAATTACTCCTAAACCGTTGAATCTACGGGAAAATTGTATATGATCTTTCTTGTAGAGGACGATGAGATCTACAATTTCCATATAAAAATATTTCGCTAGTATTAATATTTAACGAGTTATTGACGAAAAACGAAAAACAGTTTTTTTGCAAATTACTCGTTAACTATTGACGCTAGCGAAATATTTTTACATGGAAATTGTAGATCTCGTCGTCCTCTACAAAAAAGGTCGTATGCAATTTATCCGTATGTCCAACGGTTTGGGAGTTATTGGCCAAAAACGAAAATTTGGAAGAAATTGAAGGGGTACCCCCTTGGAAAAATTTCGGAAAAA